TATATGTGCCCATAGTTATTGTGGGTGCAATTAAGTTTGGGCACAAAATTGTGTCCCCCAAAATAGAAGCTGGGTTTAAAAATCAGGTCTATTAAGTCCTGGATGAGCTGTTACCCTAGGTAAAGGTTTACTTCCTGAGGAGTTCTTCTGAGCAACTAAATAATTTAGCCATTATTTTTGAAGGAAGAAATTTACATTGATGTTGGGGCTGGGAAAAGATGGAAAAGGTGTTATCTAATTGCTCTTTTCTGTTTCCCAATCTCAACAATTTCCATTAACTGGAAAAAAAAAACCACGCTAAAATGTGCCATACTATTTTTAGAGGATCTAAAAGGATATTTGGATGAACAGATAAAAAATTACAATGCAAAACATCCTGGATTGCTAAAAATTGTGAGGCATCAGAAGAGAGAAGGCCTAACACAAGCTCGGATTTCCGGCTGGGAAGCATCTACTGCCGATGTTGTCGCAATCTTGGATGCCCATATTGAAGTGAATGTTGGCTGGTAAGATTACAAGGGAATTGTTTTCTGGGAGGGAGGAGTCTAACTGTGGAGCTGAGGTGCATGGCTTTGCTTCTGCCTCACCAAACAATGCCATTGTGTACAGGGCTGGCCTTAGGGAAAATGGTGCCCTGGGTGAACCCCCAGCAACTTCATCTCCTTCCCCGGCTGGGAACTGGTTTGACCTGCCAACTCCCTCCATCAAGCTAGGCCACAGCGCCCCCCTGCCCATGGTGCCCTGGGCAGTCACCCACATCACCCACCCTGAAGGTCAGCCCTGATTGTGTATGGCAAGTAGAGGCCACCAGCTGGATGTTTACTTTTGATTGGCGAAGGGATGCATGGTTTGAAAAAGAACTGGGCACATTCAAATTAGGGAAGCAGTCAAATAACAGAATAGGCTGTTTAGAGAAGTGCAGGCAAGCAGCGCCCAGTTTCTTTGTATCTGTATTTGTGGGCAGGAGATTGTCTCCCTTGTGCATACACATACAAAAGGACACTCAATCAGAACATATGCAGATTGTTTTCTTTAAATACCAACGTCCTGGTCTATTCCTTTCTAGGTACTTGTAAAGAGCAATAGCATCCATCGACTGTTAAATAGGAGTTAAACCAAACTAATGTGTACCTATTGTCTATTTAGCATTGTTAATTATTATTACCAATTAATGATTGCATATAGAATTATAGATGTTCATGGCTCATTACAAAGAGAACCAAGACAAGGTCCCTGTTAACAGGTACTTATAATATAGTTTAGATCAATGTATTTACCCTCCCTTTCTGTACCATATCTCTCTAACATACGTCTATCCTGGTTGGTTGGGTTCAGTGCTTGACCACTCCTCACATTGTTTCACTTCCCTAGCAGACAGCGTTTCACCTCTGAGACTGTGTTGCATCTCTAATCTCACCCTACCCCGGGCTATGATGGCCTTATTCATCACAGATAGCACAACCAGGGAGTCCTCCCATTTGTTGTTGTTGTTTTTATTGCAATAGCACCTAGAGGCCCCAGTCAGGGATCAGAGCCCCAGTGTGCTAGGTGCTGTGCATACACAATGAAAAGAAGGCCCCTGCCCCCAACAGTTTACAATATAAATCTATGGTGAGAGGCAACAGAGGGGTATAACAGACAGGCAAGGTAACAGAGAGGTGATTATGGCTAGTGTAATTAGCAATGGTTACGGTGCATGAACTGCTGGGATGGCCTGGGAGAAAGCATAAGGCTACTAGAGAGAAAGATGGATTAGTAGTCAGAAAACCTGTATGACTGGGATCCCAGTGGGGGCCAGCTGTGGTCACTCAATTAGGGTGAACTGCAAAGAATGGGGCAGACAATCCCCAAAAAGCTGGTGAACATTCCAGTACTTATATTTACCAAGCCAGCATAAAACAGCTTCTTTTATACCTTAGTGGTTACTCAGAAGTTCAAACAACACAGTTTCCTTAAAGCGATCCAGCCTCAAACTTCCACCCCAGTACCTATGTTAAATATGATTTCTGAAAATCTTATCTCATCATATAAAAGAAAGGGTTCTACCAATCCCAAAGAATGGGACACATTACCTCCCAGGTTAATGAATGTTTCAGAACTTACCCAAATACATGCATACAGCCAATTCTTATTAACTAAACTAAAATGTATTAAAAAACAAGAGAGAGAGAGTATGGTTAAAAGATCAATATACATACAGACATGAGTTCAGTTCTTAAGATTTTAATTCATAGCAGAGATGGTGAGGTTTGTAGTTGCAAAGAGTTCTTTCAGAAATAGTCCATAGGTTATAGTCCAATGTTTATATTTCAGAGCGATCCAGTTAGAACTGGAATCTCAGTCCTTATGGCCTAAGTTTCCCCTGTATGAAGCCTTAAGCAGATCCGAGATGAACAGGATCAGGACCCAAGGATCTTTTATACAATTTCATATCCTTTTTGACAAATTGGAGTTCCTCCGGGAACAAAAGGTAGTTAGGATGACTTTGAAGGAGGTCCCTCACCAGTACTTAGCTATATGAATTAACATAAGGCAATTTACTTGTTCCTCCACCATTCACAGTACATTTCAAAGAGAGATGAATACAGAAATATCCCATGTTTACAATTCATTTAAATGTCAGGATATTATTTTGATCTTCTGAATTAACAGAATACAACATAGATAGGGACTGTTGATTACATTGTTGACCCTACTCATACGTATGTAAATACACAAAAACACAAACATTATCTCCCCACATGTCTTTTGAGGGTTGTTTAATTTGCAGCATGTTTAACCCTTTCTGGCCATGCGTCACAACCTGTCATTGCTTGGTAGAGCTGAGACAGGAGCCAAGGGCTCAGTCATCTCTTTGGACTCAATTCTAAGAAATGGGCTGCCCATTTCAGCATTAAGGTGCCATGCACTTTGGTTCATCAGGTCCATACTTGCTGCAAGGTGAAAATAATGTTTTTGTTCATTATTTTAGGGCTGAACCTATTCTGTCTCGAATCAAGGAAGATCGTACTGTTATAATATCACCGGTATTTGACAATGTTCGCTTTGATGACTTTGAACTTCTTGAGTATGCAGTGTCTGCAGATGGATTTGACTGGGCACTATGGTGCCTCTATGAACCATTACCAAAAGAATGGTATGCACTCAAAGATGAAACGGCTCCAGTCCGGTAAGTCTGAATAGTATTCTTGAGGGAACAAAGACCGCAGACATCTGAGATGTTTTCAGACTCACCTCTAAAACTAACAAGGATAGGGTTTTCTCACATGGGTGGGTAAGATATCTGCAAAATGCAGGTGAGTTGAAATTGTCAGTTTGGATCTGAGAGTCGTGTAGTAACATTAGAGATCTCACTTTGTCCCATGTGGTCTGTGTAAAAGACGGATCCAGGCTCTCCTGCATTCTAAGTCTGGTCCTAAATATTTCTCCCTCTGCAATCTTGGGCAAATCATTTAATCTGTCTGTCCAAGCTTCCCATCTATAAATGGATAATAATACTTACCTACTGTCACAGTTGAGAGTTAGCTGTACCTCTGACCCTTCTCTAGGGGTATGTCTGCACTGCAGTCAGACACCCATGACTGGCCCGTTCCAGCTGGTTTGGGATTATGGGGCTTGGGCTAAGGGGCTGTTTAGTTGTGGTGTAGACGTTACGGCTTGGGCGGCAGCCTGAGCTCTAGTACCCTCCCACTTTGCCGGGTCCTAGAGCCCATGGTCCAGCCCAAGCCTGAACATCTACACCACAATTAAACAGCCCCTGAGCCCAAGCCCCTTAGCCTAGATCAGCTGGCATGGGCCAGCCAGCACAGTTTTTAATTGCAGTGTAGACATACCCTATGTCTGCCTGAGTGCAACCTCTCCAAGTGACAGGCCCTGTGCCTTTTCTTTACCTCCTTGTGGTGGAATCTCACAATTTCCCCACTCTGACAGGAGTACCAGATTACAAGCCTCTGCAGACCCACTGACTCCTCAGCAGGCCCGACTGGGTTCAAGGCCTGCAATTCTTCCCTTGGGAAGCTGTGACCAGTATATCACTAGAGTGATGTGAAACTGCCTTTTCAACACAAAAAAATTGTTTCATCTTAACAGCAGTAACACAGCGTAACAAGAAAAGGATTTTGACACAACAGTCTACATGCATAACTGTCTTACCTACAACTTAGATAGGCCTGGCTTACCCAAACACCCCCACTTCTGGGGCTGGGGTTCAGTCTGCTTCTCCACAGTCCCTGTGTCTCTCATATATAAACTGTTTTGACCAAATTTAACTTACTGGGTTGCTCTGAGGTAACATCATAGTTAATAGCTCTTGGTGTTTGTTGAGGAACTTTTATCTGGGCCTTTCCTGGGATCTAGCCCCTTATAACCATGTAGCAAACAATATCATAACAAAGATATAGATCATTCATGAGATATGACAGGCATCTTCCAAGTCCTTCACACCGACCTCTAGGGTTGCCAACTTTCTAACCCAGTGGTTCTCATACTTTTATACTGCTGACCCCTTTCACATAGCAAGCCTCTGAGTGTGACCCCTCTTATACATTAAAAACACTTTTTAATATATTTAACACCATTATAAATGCTGAAGGCAAAGCGGGGTTTGGGGTAGAGGCTGACAGTTCGTGACCCCCCATGTAATAGCCTTGCGACCCCCTGAGGGGTCCCAAGCCCCAGTTTGAGAACCCCTGTTCTAACTGCACAAAACCGAACACCCTAGCCCTGCCCCTTCCCCAAGGCCCCACCCCCACTCACTACATTCCCCCTCCCTCGGTGACTCCTCTCCCCCACCCTCACTCACTTTCACTGAGCTGGGACAGGGGGTTGGGGTGCAGGAGGGGGTAAGAGATCTAACTGGGGGCGGTGGGCTCTGGGGTGGGGCCAGAAATTAGGGGTTCAGGGTGTGGGAGGGGTCTCCAAGCTGGGGCGGGGAGATGGGGTGCAAGAGTGGGTGAGGGCTCCAGCTGGGGGTGCGGGCTTTGGGGTGGGGCTGGGGATGAGGGGTTTGGGGTGCAGGAAGGGGCTCTGGGTTGGGGGGGCTCTGGGCTGGGGCAGCGGGTTGGGGCTTAGGGTTGGGGCGCAAGCTTCCCTCAGACAGCTCCCAGTCAGTGGCGCTGTGGGTCTAAGGCAGGCTCCCTACCTGTCCTGGCAGCATGCTGCACCCGGTGCGGGAGGGGAGGGGCAGGAGGCTCAGCGCACTGCTCTCGCCCACAGGCACTGCCTCCCCCAGCTCCCATTGTCCATGGTTCCCGGCCAATGGGAGTGAGGAGCCAGTGCTTAGGGCGGGGACAGTGCACGGAGCCCCGTGGCCCCCCTGCTTAGGGGCCGGATGTGCTGGCCACTTCCGGGGCGCAGCGCAGTGCTAGGACAGGTAGGGACTAACCTGCCTTAGCCCCTCAGCACCACTGACCAGACTTTTAACAGCCTGATTGGCAGTGCTGACCAGAGCCGCCAGGGTCCCTTTTCGACCGGCCGGTCGAAAACCGGACACCTGGCAACCCTACCTACTTCACATATGGTGGTGTGAACATTCCCTTGTTAAAGTAGTGCATTTTGGAGATGAAAGTCATTATGTACAAGATATGCAAAATAAATAAACTATTATGAGGCATTTAACGTCCATATTCAACAGAAAGGATTAATGCATCCTGTATTTGCATGGTGCTAACATAACTCCACTCTGAATAAATTCATTACACACTCAGACACTGGTAATTGGGTAAATACCTAGATAGATAAGGCTGGGCAGAATTTGGCACTAAATGCATTTATGGAAATGTCCACTGTAAATACAGGGTGGTGGTAAAAATGGGATGGGAAGAAACCAAATCTAGCTAAAGAGCAATTTATTAGGGACCCCCAAACTAGCACAAACAAAATAAGAATTGTCCCAATGAGCCCAATACTCAGTCTCTCACTGAACAGGAAATTCAAAAGAGCATAATTAATTCTCAAATGATTGTTTATTCCTCTTCCTATTTATTTCATAGTTATTTCTTCTCTCCAACTGTATCTATTCTCTTTCCCAGGAGTCCTTCTATTATGGGGATACTTGCTGCACATAGAGTTTTTCTGGGTGAGATTGGGGTACTGGATGGCGGAATGCATATATACGGAGGGGAAAATGTGGAACTTGGCCTGCGGGTATGTTTAATTCTGCTTCTCTTATAAAATAAATAATGTAAGTGTGGGGACCTGATTTTCAAAAGAACTCAGGGCCAGATTTCTAAGTGCTCAACACAGACGATTGGGCTCAGTTTTTCAAAGAGTTCAGCTCCCATTTCAGTACTGAAATGAAATGGCAGATTTTCAAAAGTGCTGAGCACCTAGCAGCTATTGTGGTTAGATATTCGGCTGCCTGTGTGTGTTTTTCCTGTGTGCTGTCCCAGCTCTGCACAGACAGCTGGCACAGCAGACCTTGAACGCACCGCCGAATGACCACAAGATCTGTTAAGGTATGAAGGCACCAGGCCAGGTTTATTGTCGACAAAGCACGGTAATAGCACTGGCAGACTCTACGAGGATACTAAGACATGTATGCCCGTGACAATGGGCACAGCTCAGTAAATGGTGGGACTTTCCATTTCCCTCTCACCTGGACAAAGATACTCCCTCTGAGATACCTCTTTATACCCTCATACAAACAAGTTACGTACTGCCCCTCTGACATAGTTAGTTACTGCCCCCTGACATGGCTAGTTATCACCCATCACCTTGTACATGTTGATTTGATCAAAACATCTCTATTACATACTGTCATCCTGACCTTATCTTTTTGGAGGGGTCAGTGTGTTCCTCTTAGCCTTGGGGAATGTTTTTGTACCATCCTTGATATCGGGGTGTTCTGGTTCCACTTGATATCGGGATGTGTTTGTGTGAGCATTTCTAGGAATGTATATTTCTGCAATATCATCCCTGTTCGTGCCAGATTCTGTGAGCAGGTTCTGCCTCATACCAGGCCTCTGATACAAGGGCTTATGTCTCAGGCTGTCTTCCTACTACAGCTATCATTGTGAGACTTATGGCCGGACATTCTAAAGAGTTCAGCACCTGACATGCTGAGGCCTTGTCTACATGGCGAGTTACTGTGTAGCAAGGCAGAGTGTGAATCTACAGTGCAGTAACTTGGTGTGGTGTACCGTCTCACGTGGACACTGCTACAGCATGGCGGAACTCCCGGAGTGCAGCTTGGCATATTATACTTTCAAGTAGTCAAGCCACACTCCGGGATGTTCATTGCACTATGGCAGTGTCCACATGGGGCATTGTGGCATGGCAAGCTGGTGCACAGTAGATTCACACCACGAAGACAAGCCATGAGCTCTTTGAAAACATGTGATATGAACTTATTTTGATGCCTAAAAAAGGAACGAAGCTCTCTTGCAAATCTGGCCCAGTAAGCAAATATAGAACTGCTGAGTGCGGTATGTACAGCTCTCTGCACAAAGTTACTGTGGTGGATGCTTGCTATCCTAACAGTAGAACTGGATTAATCTTGCACATTTTAGTCTCGAAAGTGGTAAGCATAAGTTCAATGGCCATGAAGTTCACAAAGGTTAAAACAAGTCCACCTTTCCTATATTCAGAGTCCACAGGCAAGGTTTGAGTTTGCAGTGGTTTATGCATTGTTACACAGCTTTCCTGATTCATCAAATGTGGCTTTAGTGGCCAGACTGGAAAATATTATTTTAGGTTTTAATTCCATGATAGAGGAGACAGCAAATACAAATTCAGAAAGAAATGTGGAGGACAGGTGTTGGCTGAGTGTGGGAAGGAGTTTGAAGGAGAAGACTGTGTACAGCAGGGGGATCACTAGAAAAAAATAATAATGACAGGTAAATGTAGAGAAAGAAAGATGATAAGATAGAAAACCAGGAAGGGAAGAATTTCACACAAAGTGTACTCAGCCTGTTGTCTTCCCTGCCACAGTAAGTCATAAAGACCATTGCTAAGATTGTATAGTTTTATGTCCATTGATAACATAGATAAATATACAAGCTAAGATAACAAATGTAAACTTCATGAAGTTTACAAGCTGGAGGCAGGAGGGAAATCCATCTTGTGAAATAACCAATTGGAGAGTGACACTATGGGGTACAAGGTCTTGCAGTGTACTCCTCAGGAGCATTATCTATTGACCCAGCAGGATGCCAGTCTGATTCAACATAGGAAGTGCTGTAAGAAGGGCCAAGGCATTAGAAAGGCGACACCCCAGAAGGAGACCCCCCCCCCCAATGTTCATCAGTAAACCTCAGAAGCCTCTCTTCAGGTAACATGATGTAGTACATGAGATGAAACCAAAGGAGGAAATGCCCATGCTCTGGACCCAGTTCCTGAGTGTGAGATAGCAGCTGGAATCCCGTATAAACTTGACACTGCTGGGGGGGATTTAGAAAGGCAGAAGGTAATTACTCAGATAGGAATTTAGCCAGGACCCCAGAGCCACCACCTCAGCCCAAAGTGCCAGGGGGTTCTTTGAAGACACAGAGGTCAGACTCTCAGTTTTACCTTTCATTTAAAATTCAGCACTTACAGCTGCACAGTGCTCCCTAATGCCTTGCCGCAGCCATGTTGCCTCAGTACTGATTTAAAGGGAAGACAGTTGAGTCTTAAATCACCAGCACTACTTGCTGCAGCATGTAGGTTTTCCACTGATAGAATTTCAGACACATTTATTTCCTTTCAAGCTGCGAGCCTCCAAAGAAAACTGTCCCTTTCCTCATATTCGGTGTCTCCTCTTCTCAGATAAATACTGATAATGGATTTGTAAACCATTTGATGATGGCTAATTAAGGTTTAGCCGCAGCAGTGGGAACATGTTGCATATAGTGATTAAACTAGAAGAAGGATGGTCCAGTCATTAGTTTGCTAGCCTGGGATTTGGGAGACCTCAGGTTAATTCCCTGCTCTGCCCCAGACTCCCTGTGTGACCTTGGGCAAGTCCCTTAGCCTCTCTTTGCCTCAGTTCCCCATCTGTAAACTAGGGATACCAGCAATGCCCTGGCTTTCAGAGATTTTGTGAGGATCAGGCCCGCTGACGGGGGGCAAAGGTGGCAATTGCCCAGCGGCCCGGGTGATTTAAAAGGGCCTGGGGCCCCCCGGCTGCCGCCACCACCAGCAGCACAGTGGGGCTAAGGCAGGCTTCCTGCCAGCCCTCACTCCGCGCTGCTCCCAGAAGCGGCCGACACATCCTAGCGGCCCCTGGGGAGGGGGTCTCTGCGTGCTAATCCCACCCCGAGCACTGACTCTGCAGCTCCCATTGGCTGAGAATTGCAGCCAATGGGAACTGCAGGAGCAGTGCCTGCAGGCAGCGGCTTGCAGAGACCCCCCACGGCCCCCCGCCTAGGAACTGCTGCCAGAGGGGTGTGCCAGTTGCTTTCGGTAGCCGCCCAAGGTAAGCGCTGACCCGCTCCTGCACCCCAACCCCCTCCCCCAGCCTACAGCCAGCACCCAAACTTCCTCCCAGAGCCCAACCCTGCACCCCCTCCCACACACCCCCGCACCCAAACTTCCTCCCAGAGCCTGCACCCTCACCCCTCCTGCACCCCCACCGCAGAGCCCACACCCCGCACCCAAACTCTGTCCCAGAGCCTGACCCCGCACCCCCTCCTGCACCCAAACTCCCTTCCAGAGTCTGACCCTCACCCCCCCTGCACCCAAACCCCCTCCCAGAGCCCACACCCCTTCCCTCCTGCACCCAAACTCTCTCCCAGAGCCCGACCCCTCACACCCCCTGCACCCAAACTTCCTCCCAGAGTATGATCCTCACCCCCCCTGCACCGAAACTCCCTCCCAGAGCCTGCACCCCCTCCTACACCCCAACCCCTTGCCCCAGCCTGGTGAAAGTGAGTGAGGGTTGGGGGGAGTGAGCGACAGAGGGAGGAGGGATGGAGCAAGCAGGGGCGGGGCCTTGGAGAAGGGGCAGGACAGGGGCGTGGTCTCAGGGAAGGGGTGGGTTGGGGGGCAGGGCAAGCGTCTTTGGGTTTGTGCAATTAGACAGTTGGCAACCCTACCAGGCAGGCATGTGGAAGCCCTGGCTGTGCTGGAAGAGCGTGCCTAGCAGCGCAGCCAGCAGCTCGCTGGGCACCAGCCAGTGCAGGCGTAGCATCACCTAAATGTCAGGCAGACCATGTCTGTGCGGGCGGGGCTTGTGCATGCCTGGGGGCCCATTGACTGTTCTGACCTGGGGCTCGGAATTGCTGTCGGCGGGCCTGGCGAGGATATATACATTAGAGATTGTGAGGTGCCCACCGTTACTACGGCAATAGGGGCCATTCAGTATCTAATTGATAGGCAGAATGTATTTTGTCTTATTCAACAGCAATTACTGCAGTGACTGAAGTGACAGCATTGATATCCTGTGAAGAGAATCCCAGGTAGTTTTCTGTGGCTAGAAGGGTGGTGACTGCATCTCAAGGACTCATGCGTGAAGTGTGGGAGGAATAAATATGGTAGATTCAGAGTACTCAGGATCCACCTAGGGAAAAGGTGGGATTGACAGGGGATGAACTCCTTTCCGCTTTTAATACATTAAAATACACGGAGGCCTCATTCTTCATTGCCCTGATACATGTATATTCATTTACACCAGTGCAAGGTGGGTGTAAAGCATCACCATATCAGAATGGTACCATTATACCTCTTCTCTGTGCTGGTATATCTGACTGCACAAAATGCAGGGGAATGGAGAATCAGGCCCATTAAATACATTTCTGCTCAGAGAAGTGACTTCAAAAATAACATTGTAGGGCTCCTTTTGCATTGTCCCTCAATGATTTCTTGTATCAAATGCGCTCAGTTTGTAAGCAGATTGATGGGGGAGAGGGGGGTTTCTAGGTGCCAGCCCTGTAAACAGCCTGGGATATGAGAGTCAGACTGGTCTCTTTCCTTCTCCTGCAACCTTAATCATAATTAACATTCTGTAGGGCCAGTTCTGCTCTTTGTGACACCTGTATAACCTCATTCAAAGGATTTACACGAGAGTAACTGCTTAGTCCCGTAACTGGAAATTAATAATGATGCAAAAGACTAAATAGCTTCCACCTCACTCTCCTGTACATGTGTTGGCTCTGCAGAGCCTAAAAGAAAAGTACTGAAAATTTCCCTTAATCACTAAATTCAGGAGAACTTACTCTGGATACTGAGAGTGAGCAGATCTGTTGAGTAAGGAGGTGCAATTTTTAGTCACTTATGTAGAACAAAATCATGTTAACCACCGGTGAAAAGAGCCAACTCCAAATGCACATTCACTGGAACCCCTGCTTCATCCATACAGGTTTGGCAGTGTGGGGGTCAGATAGAAGTTTTGCCCTGTGCAAGAGTTGCTCACCTGGAAAGAGCGCACAAACCCTACTTGCTGGACTTGAGCATTGCTATGAGACGCAACGCCCTGAGAGTGGCCGAAGTGTGGATGGACGACTATAAATACATGATTTATTTCGCATGGAATCTTCCTATTGAGGTGTATATGTTTGGTTGTTTAGAATTGGTTTCTTTAAATTGAGATGGTCATTCGTATGGGAGCAAATTACTAATAGTGGTCTAAGTAGGCCAAGAAATCACAATGAGGCCAGACGTAGCAAACGGAGGTGTTTGTGAGATTTGTCCCTTTAAAAACATTACTATTATTATTATAGTGCCTAGGAGCCTGAGTCATGGACCAGGACCCCACTGTGCTAGGCACTGTACATAGAACAAAAAGATGGGTTCTGCCCCAAACAATGTAATAATTTCTAACTTTTTTAAAATAAAAAGTATGTTGTTTGGATTTTTGCAAGTTGTGATAATAGAGCAAATGAACTGGGCATCCTTGAATATCTTTTAAAAATGCTCTAATAAATAATAGGCAAGTCAGTTACTTTTAATCAAATGACCCAGCAACACCCTACACTAATTGACCGCCATGCCCAAAATGCTGCAGAGTCCCACATCCCCACTATCCGACACCCATTTCTCACAGGCCAGGGATAAAGAAAGAGTGGGCCTTACAGCATGCTCTGCAGGCTGAGAAACATTCATGTTGGGAAATCAAGCACTCAGAATTAAGGAAATTCAGAGAGAGGGTTGAAAGCTCAACCTTAACTTTCCTCCATTGTTGTGCTCATGCCTTCAACTATAGTCTCTCTACATATCATTGTAAGTTATGCCAATTAATACCATATATAATGCAAACTGGAATTTCTTGTACATCGTTATGTTAGTAAATCCCAGTGCAGTGTATACATTCTTCAAGATTGGCTAGATTTGTAAATCTCATAGAGTTCGACAAAGCTCTGCACACCTCATGAGCATGGCAAAATGGCAGCTTCCTCTTTGATACTTTGAGATACTTTTGGTTCTATTGCACACATTTAAAATGCGTAGTGATTTATTGTTCTTCATAACTAGTAACAGATCACATTTTTGTACACTGCCATTTTCCTTTAAAGGTGACCTGGCAAAGGTGGTGGTGGAGGGAGGTTTTGTGTGCCTATTTTCTTTCTTTCTTGATGTAAGAAGCTCTGCATGCTGTTTTAAATTTTTATTTCCTCCCATTTAAAGACATCAGGAATGTCGAGTCATTTTTTAATGGAAGAACTTGTAGATCAAAGGTGTATTGCCCTTACCTGGAGTGGTGTTTTGAGTTTTTAAAAAAAGATTTTTTTTTGCCAGTGATTTAGTTAACTAGATGTTAATGAAAACAAAATACCCTGAATAAAAAAGCACTTGTTCTTCCAGTGAATCAGTTCTTAACCTCCATTGTATCTGTGATTTCATAGACAGGCAAAACACAATCTGAATTTCTAATGTAAAAGTAATCAGGGATTTTTTAAGAGCAGATTTTAGATATTCTTTATATATTATGAAGAAGCAACAAAAAGGGGGAGGTATAAGTCAATTTTCCCTCCATTTTTGCAGGTCACTTTTTAAATTAATGTCTGAACAATGTGGTGTTTTTTCAGAATCCTGGAATAGACTATGGAGATGTTTCTTCCAGAAAGGAGCTAAGAAAGAAACTGAACTGTAAAAGCTTTGACTGGTACATAAAGAACGTATATCCTAATTTAATACCTTTGACCACTGTTGTTGGTTACGGAACAGTAAGTACTGTGCATGTCTACTGAATAGATGCAACAGTTAGATATCTCCAATATTATGAAGGTTGTTGAAGGCAATTTCTTCTGTGTTCCTGATCAGTCTAACCTGGGTTGCTCTTGTAAATTGGTCATATTATAACCATAGTATTGGTTTTACTAGAGGTTTTAGAGATATTTAAAGTGAGTGCCATCTTTTTGTAAAACTTTCTGTACCTGTTGCATATTTAAACTGTGCCCACTGCATGTCTACCAGCATAAACATAAAATAGCATAGGAAGGTATTTAGAAGGACACATTTTTGTGCAACATAAGAATGCTCATAGAGCAGGGAACAACAATGGATGAAATCTCTCCCTATAATTGTCTGCAATGTTCAATAGAATATTATGGAGACGCATCACAGAAATGAAAAGTTCAACAAAGTAATCATTGCCTGCTGTATAGCTATAAATCAAGGGAGGACAGTATCTTCTGGTCACTCATTTCAGAGTTGTTAAGTTGCTTTTTAAATTTGGACTGGAACAATAATCATGAAGATCATGATAGAGGGAAAAATTATAGCTAAAGAAGAGTAAAATATACAGAATGTGAAAGAAACAATTGTCAATTTAAAAACAATGGACCACATTTTCAAAACTCCTCTGGCTGAACTGGGCACACGCAGGTTGTGCCAAGTGCAAACTCAAATGTGTGCAAACTCAGATACATGCAAGCCTTTGTTTTGCGCACAATGAAACAGAACACAATTGTTTTTAAAGATTCAATCAAATGAGAATTTTTTGTTTTGGTTAAAAAGACATTTCCAAAAAGTTTCAATGGAAAAAATTCAGCCTTTTCTATTGGTGATACTTGTAGTGATGTGGTTTTTATGGGACTGCTCTATGATTATACTGTATCAGTGAACAATTGTGTTATAGTAGGGTCCCCCAACCTGAGGAGTTGTCTACACTATAAAGCCTTTGCCAGAACCCCTAGTGGAGATGCACCATATGTTAATAGAATGAATTCTTCCACCAGTGTACATAAAATACTTCCCTCAGTGACATTAGGTAAGCTAAGCACTGTTCGGTCAGCATAGTTGCGTCTACACGTGGGGGGAGGGGGCAGTTTGCTGGCATAGCTACATTGGCCAGTGGATGTGATATTTTTGTACTTATAGCTAAATTTTGTAGTGTAGACCAAGCCCAGGGCCAGCTCCAGGCACCAGCCAAGCAAGCTGGTGCTTGGGGCGGCAGATTGTTCGAGGCGGCATTCCGCCCAATCCTAGGGCAGCATGGCCGCTTTTGTTTGTTTGTTTGTTTTTTTGTTTGTTTGTTGTGCCGCTCCGGCCGCCCTGTAGGGGGCGGCGGCGCGGTGGACGGGAGCGCCCTGCTGCAAGCCCGGCAGGGCAGTCCGCGTCCTTCCCTCCCAGATGACTGGAGCGGCGCGGAGCCTCCCAGCAGGCGGCGCACCAGTCGGGGCCGCGTGGTAGTGCCCCGCTGAAGGCCTGGCCGCTCCCCTTCTCTCTCTCTCCCCCCCGCTCCCTCCCCCTCCCCCCTGCTAGCCGGGGCACGTCTGCAGCACGGGGAGTCCCCCTGCACCCTGGCTCCGGCCGCGCCGCAGTTTGTTTTTTTTTGCTTGGGGCGGCCAAAAAGCCAGAGCCGGCCCTGACCAAGCCCCATTGTTTCTCTGATGTATAGACACTAGAAAAGCCTTTAGATTTGCTTCTCATGTTTTCTGGGATGAAGTCAACTCTGAAAAGTTGTTTTGCAGTTTCTTTTTCTAAATCCATCCTGTGTTCTCCTGTTACTTCAGAGCTCTGAAGCAAAACTGCAAACCAGCATAGCTCTCAGCAGAGCTTACAAAAACAGTGGTGGGAACAGGAAGATGTGGTAGTTATTCCATGCATTAATATGCCTGTTTTATCTCTGTAGATGAAAAACACTCTGAATGAGAACATCTGCATAGATCAAGGCCCTGTCCCTGGAAACACTCCAATAATGTATGGCTGTCATGCTTACTCACCACAGGTATTAAAAACAAGCTATTTAACTGCAACCAGAAATCTTTTGTTAGCCTTTGCTTTGGATTCTTTGCTAGACAATGAAATAGACTCCTGAAAATTGTTCTTCATGTGCTGTCATGCAGGGAAGACTAATTTTATTTTGTAAGTAAACAAGTAAAATCCCAAATCAAAAATGAGTGGCAGTAGTCTCATAGACTTTAAGGTCAGAAGGGACCATCATGCTCATCTATCTGACCTCCTGCTCATTGCAGGCCAAGGCAGATACCATCATGGTCTAAGTACATTAAGTTGGTTCCATTTTTATGGGGAGGTGACCTCACTTACCACCTTCCCTCCCCACACACATATTGACAACTATTGTTCTTGCTGATGGTGGTTCCAGCAGAGAGGTGAAGGATTGAATGGGATGCAGACTGAACTCCTCACTCTTCACTTCTTGTTCTGTCACTAGGAGGGACACTAGTGATTACAGTTCCACCGTAATAATTGACCTGTTTTTTATGAACAGAGGAGAACAAGACTGATGTCATAGCTCTAGTGGGTCAAATTCATCCTGGTTTAACTTCAAGGATATCAATGAATTTGGCCCCATGTATCTAATGTTAGTCAGTTTCACAAATGTCTGGTATCCTCCTTTGGGATTTCGTCAGTGTCCTAGCTCACCTACTCCAATGTAACATTGCCTTTCAGCACTTGTTTTATCTCAGCACTGGAGAAATGTATATAGGAGGCCTACGATCTCGACAGAATGCAGTAGATCGGTGCCTAACTGACCCTGGCACAGGAGACCTGCCATTTATAGAGCAATGTAATGAGGCTGTGAAAAAGGGACTGAACATGCATTGGGATTTTAAGCAGGTAGGTGAATTTCCATGTCCCTACATTTCAATGGCATGTTTCATCCTGAAAGAGCCTAAAATGCTTTATACACACGAGGACAAATTTTCATATGGGGAAGCCCCAGCTGTAGGATTTGCACATGCAATTCAAGGAGCCAAGCTGATGTCCCTGGGAACAGCAGATACTCCACACCTAATGGATCAGGACCTGGATACCTCAAACTCCATTTTATCCTCCACTCTCCCAACAAGCCACCCAGCCTCCTTAGCAACAACACGGATTCTGACCATCATGCACTGGGATCAGGCCATTCTCAGCAGCAGGAGCTTGGCTGTGGAACTACTTGTCAGAAGAGAAAAGAGTGGGCTGATGTCTGTTCAGTACAAAGTGATCTGATAAAGCCTTCGCCCAGGACAGACAATCTTTACAAAGGCAAAACAGTCTGACCCAAACAAAGCCATACTCCTCTGCCCCAGAAAAATACCTTTTGATTTGAGATCTGAGTTCCTTAATTTTGTGCAGTACTTAAACACCGCAGTGATAGCTGGCATCAAATCATTAGATAGACCGACTCAAGGTCTGGGCACAGGGCCTCCCTCTGCTTCTTTGGGATCTGGTCTAAGATACTCAGATACTACTGTGGTGGGGTGGTATAAAAACATAGACAGGGAGAGAGAGAAGAGCATGGTGTCAAGTTTCACAGGTTCTTGGCAGAGAGAATTGAGGCCAGTCAGAACTCAGACCAGCCTGGCTCTGCTCCCCAGAATTCTCAACCAAGTATCCCCTAGTTGCCATCCTCTCCCCCCCTCAAGTTAGCCTGCCCCCAGGGCAAAATGTTTTGAAACATTGTGGATCACCCACTTCAGAAATATTACTGATTTGGCGTGAAGGGTGGGGTTCTGACAGATTTCTTTTGTCCTTAATCTGGCTTGTGACCACATGTCTGGAGACAATTTAAAGCAGAGAACAGATACCTTTGAAAGGCTGACAATCCATTTTAAAAGCAAACCTATCATTCATATAAGTCATATATAAGGCTATGCTGTGAAACACAAAAAACTGAGTTTTGTAGTGGGGCCCATTGAAGCTGGGTGGACCAACCGTATTTAAAAGGAAAACTATACTAAAGTGTAACACTTTGGCAGCGTATTGATATCATTACGATTTCACCTCTTTAAATTACTCCACCCTACACAAAACATTTCACATTCTAGTATTGACTTGGGAAAAACCAGCTGCCTTGAGTGAGTTCCCTTTGATGTTAGGGTTGTCCTTGTGCAACATGTGCATTAGTGCCAGCCTAAAGATATATCCTGTGATTTATTTGAACTCTAAAGAAGGTAACTGTATTTGAATAGGCTTTACAGATTTCCCTGTAACTTACTGATCTCTCTTTGTCAGCACATATGGAAACTCTTCTGTTTACCAGAAAAGACTTGTTTTTGTATCTCTGATTAATTTATAGGGATCACATCTGTAAATATTGTCTAGTCTTTGAATACTTGAATAACTTTATCATTCTGCTGTGTCTCACTGGTTTGTCCTCTTCTTTGCCGACTTACAGAGTCATAGATTTTAAAACCCAGAAGGGCGCCTAGATCATCTAATGTGACCTCCTGTATAGAACAGGCCACGGACCCCACCCAGCACCTGCACACTAATCCAACAACTGAAATGAGACCAAAGTATTCTTTCTGTTACTAATTTATTACTAGCTGGCAGCCTGATGCTAACTTTACTCCAGAGTAATAACTTTCCACCTTCTGAAGCTGCACAGTTTGGTTCACTCAGTCAAACCGAGAAACTTTCTTTCCTACTTATGACCACAGTCAAGCTAGATGCAGTGACAAAAATGTATTCTGTCTGTGTGCAGAGAACATTTTCACTGACCTGACATATTACAGAAATCAAGAGAATTGTTTACTGCCTGGGCACTCAGTTCTGAAATGCAGACTGCAGCTTGTCTCATGCTTCTTTCGTTTTGCAGGGATCATCCGTGATGAACAAGAAAACTAAGAGATGCCTTGAAATTGTAAAGGACAATCCGTCTTCGCCTTACAGGCTTGTAATGCAGAACTGCACTGGACAAAAATGGAATGTTCAACACACAGTTAAAGATTGGGGCAAGAGAAGTGCTCTGAGATAGCTTATTTATCTCAACCAACAGATGACTTGGCACTGACTCTAGGAAGCAGGGAAATTGGGATCACCAGGAAAACATATTCTTCAGAGGTTTCCAAAGAAGAGCAAGACTTCTGTTGCTAGGACATTACACAATAGAGATTATCTCAGGTAGAGACTATAACATTTTGGGGAGCACATTATTGGTATGGAAGAATGTATGCTCTGAATTATGGGAGGATATGGGCACATAAACAGGAGGGTGACGGACACATGTACCATAGGTAGTTATCGTTGTGTGTATTTAAGTTGGCAGTCAGTGAGGACAAACTGGAACCGAAGACTGGATGAGAGAAAATTGATCTTGTGTAGACCACTCGGGGGGGAGCTTGAAGATTCTGTGGTAGAAGGGAAACTAAGGAAATGCAAACAGAGATGTTATAAAGCAGGGGTTCTCACACTGGGGGTTGCAAGGTTATTATATGGGGGGTCGCAAGCTGTCAGCCTCCACCACAACCCCTGCTTTGCATCCAGCATTTATAATGTTATTAAATATATTAAACAGTGTTTTTAATGTATAAGGGGGAGGGGGTCGCACTCAGAGGCTTGCTATGTGAAAGGGGTCACCAGTACAAAAGTTTGAGAACCACTGTTATAAAGGATGTGTTATTCAGAGGTGACCAGGACCTACAGCTCCCATTGACTTCACTTGGAAAACTGGGTGTTCAGTACCTCTCAAAATCAGAACCAAGGGTTTTTATTTGTTTTTTTTTTACAACGTCAGCCTTGTAAATAAGTGGCCTGATTTTCAAAAATGTTGAGCTCCCATTGAAATCAATAAACTACTTGCACTGGCCTCTTATTATTGAAGATCTTGGTTGAGAACTATACATGATATCTGTACCCTGCCTTTTATATTCAGGGGGCCTTCAGTGGATGAGAAATCACCCTGCTTTCAGCTTGATCTTTATACACTCATCTAATCTGTTAACCAGCGATGCAATGGAGCGATGACTTGTTGGCTTCTGGGAGCTCCTTGTCAAAAGCCTGCAGCCAATTTGAAGTGAAGGCTGGCGTGATTTGCCTGCCTCCAGAGGAGTTACCCCTGTTCTGTAGATACTTCCAAACCATCCCTGTCAGAAAAGACTTATCCTTGGGGCTCATAAAAATACTTCTGAGAACGGAAGCAGAAAATGTTGTTAGCCTTTGGAATTGACCAATGGATTGCTCCAGATTGTAGGTGTTTTCCAAGCATTTCTTGGAACAGGATTTTCCTACACAGTCTTCATACCCATTTTCTCTTCAGTTTTACAAGCTGAACACTACACTGTCCCATCAGTAAATTTTTCAGGAATACAGAGTAAGCATTTCCAGTAAAGGACAGTTTAATAGAGGTTTGTTCGCCACATGCTACCTGCCTCTCTTTAGTTATGGTGATGAGTAAATGTCTTTGTTTAAATAAGTCGATTCCATGTTCCCTCACCCCTGATACACAGGGTTGATTTGAGGCTAATTGGACTTGTTGGTGAGAGTCAGATGGACAGCTCAACACTGCTTCATTTTCTGCTTTAGGTTTGTTATCTGATAGGATCAGCTGTAATTGCTCTTGTAATAATTACTCTTATTGCCTAAACAACAAGGAGTCCGGTGGCACCTTAAAGACTAACAGATTTATTTGGGCATAAGCTTTTGTGGGTAAAAAACCCACTTCTTCGGATGCATGGAGTGAAAGTTACAGATGCAGCCATTATATAATGACACATGAAGAGAAGGGAGTACCTCACAAGTGGAGAACCAGTGTTGACAGGGCCAATTCAATCAGGGTGGATGTGGTCCACTCCCAATAATAGATGAGGAGGTGTCAATTCCAGGAGAGGCAAAGCCCAAATTAATGGTGTTAAATTTGCAAATGAATTTTAGTTCTGCTGTTTCTCTTTGAAGTCTGTTTCTGAAGTTTTTTTGTTCAAGAATAGTGACTTTTAAATCTGTTATAGAATGTCCAGGGAGATTGAAGTGTTCACCTACTGGCTTTTGTATGTTACCATTCCCGATGCCCGATTTGTGTCCATTTATTCTTGAATAGGGACTGGGAGTGGCTGGCTCATTACAGAAGCAGCTTTGCCTCTCTTTAAGGTGCCACCAGACTCCTTGTTGTTTTTTGTGGATACAGACTAACATGGCTACCCACTGATACTTGACTCTTATTGCCGGTATTTGTTTGCCCTGTGCAAATGTTTGTCACTGTGAACACCTGTAAAAATTAAAATTTCAACGGAAGTTAAATGTGGTGAGTTTCGTTTGCATTTCTGGCCCCCCGCCCTCCCCCCAGGTTGTTAAATTTAATTACAATATGGTCACTATTACCAAGTGGTTCAGTTATATTCACCACTTGGACCAGATTCTGTGCTCCACTTAGGACTAAATCAAGAATTGCCTCTCTCCTTGGGGGTTCCAGGACTAGTTGCTCCAAGAAGCAGTCATTTAATGTGTCTAGAAATTTTATCTCTGCATCCCATCCTGAGGTGACATGTACCCAGTCAATATGAGGATAGTTGAATTCCCCGATTATTATTGTGTTTTCTGCTTTTGTAACCTCTCTAATTTTCCTGAGCATTTCACAGTCATTGTCACCATCCTGGTGAGGTGGTCAGTAGTATATGCCTAATGCTATACTCTTATTGTTCAAGCATGGAAATTCTATCTGTAGAGATTCTCTGGTACAATTTGAGTCATTTAAAATTTTTACTTTATTTGACTCTGTGTTGTCTTTCACATACAGAGCCACTCCCTCACCAGCATGACCTAGGCTCTCATTCCAATATATTTTGTACCCTGGTATTACCACATTCCATAGATTATCCTCATTCCACCAAATTTCTGAGATGCCTAATGACTATTATATCAATATCTTCATTTAATGCCAGGCACTCTAGTTCATGCCAAGTTTGAGTTTGTACTGCATTTGCCTCCTTAGGATCCTTACCCTGGTGGTGTTAGGTTACTTAAATGATAAAGGTATGAAATGATAGTTGCACAATGGAAAAATTACATCCTTGGCCTGGAAACAAAATCAGGGAACAGATCACTGACAGTGGCATATGTGACCAGCCAATCAGACTAGTACTTCACAGGTTCAGCAAAACAGCTCTTCCCTGGACCTGAAACCTTGTCTGCACTAAGGAAACATGGTTCCAGGACTGTAGACAGATGCCCAGGCCTTGTTTACATGAGGAAAAGTTACTTGTTGACACGAGCTGTTAGTCATAGGGACAACTAAATTGATGCTGCATGTGGTTTAATTGCCAGCATAGCCAAGGACAAGTTGCATTCAGCATATCAGAAACCATGTTTAAAATCTGGTTGAACCATAGTTGCTGAATGCTGTTTGGCCTTTTCTGCAGTTATCCTGATCAGTTGCATCCCCTTGTCAGCAACGGATAATTTTCCTAGGGTACACAAAGCTTGTGGGTCTGCTTATATGCCTGGAATCATGTTTGTATAGCACCATGTTTCAACACTCATCTCACCTGTCACAGGGTGACTGGCCCCTTTAAGGAGAAATAGGCCCAGCTATACCTGTGCCATAATTAACTGCCTTGCAGCCAGACAGAACGGGGCTAATGAGGTCAGGTGTTAGCATGGCAGACACCTGGAACTCATACTAAAAAGGCATGTGAAATCAATGTCAAGGGAAAGCTGTGATAGGAAACAGGTTAGGCTCCTACCGGAGGCCCTACAGTAGGAAGCAGGGAAGTTCCTGGGAGGGGAGGCAGTAGAACCTGCTAGGGAAGAGGGCCTCCAGGGAGAAAACCCTGGGAAGTAGTGCTCATTTAGAAGGAGCAAAGAGCAACTTGCAAAGCCTGGGAGTAGTCACAAAGGACAGGGAACTTCAGCAAGTGAAAAGTAGACTGTCAGAGGGGCTCCAGGGGAGCAGCCTGGAGTCAGCATTCTAGGACTGAGCAGAAAAGGATAGTAAGGTAGCCAAGAATGGCAGACAAAAGGGGGTGCAAGAGTGGAAGAATCCTTGCAATGTCATGTCCTGGCTCAAGAGGGTGCTCCAGTGGTGAATTGCCTCCATGCCATCGCCCCAGTACAACAAATTAGATTTCAGCACATCCATACTGCAGCAGTGACCAGATTTCCATTTTCATGGTGCAGGGGATAAATCTCCATATGGATGCAAAAATAATGTTAGGTTACTACTAGATTGCCTTTACTGGGTTTTAGCAGATACTTACCAGTTACTTTCATATACATGATGCTTGAACAACATGATAGTTCACGTGCTTATGACTTTGGTGCTTATTCAATTAAACAAAATGTTCAAGGAACCTCTGCTTTGTGTCAACTAGTGATGTGCACCAAATATGTGAGAATAACCATAAAGCCATATTTATTACCTCTAAGTGTGTTCACTGACTCTGGAATGTAGCTTTACAACTTCCATTTTGCTTTAATTTTCTTCTATACTAGTTTTAAAAGATGTAAATGAATGTTAGTTATTATGATTCATGCTTTGTATAGAGTGTTTTATAGAAATCTTTAACTGCAAGTTGTAAATGTATGAGACCTGGTAGGTTGTAAATCTAGGAACTATGCAATCAAAAGGAAACCAACCAATAAGAGCACCTTATCAAAGTACAGGATGCATCCTCCTTGTACAAGACACCATCCTGGTACCGGTATGATCTTTATCTCAAGAGGACAAACTCTGTAAGAAAGTTAAATTATTTTACAGTCTTTCTAAACTATAAGGCTATTCTTTATTTACGATATTCCAAAGAAGAGTGATCTTTAGGGTGTGTTATGAGAGCTAGGGTCTCTTTATGCCATCTCTTTGCAAGAAAAAAACTCTCTTGTTTAAACCCACAAGGAATTTTATATATAGCCCTATTGAAACTGATCTTTTATAAGCACTCTAAAATCTTCATTTATAGGTGGGAAACATTTTACAGGAGATATTGCTTACTTCTAAGTCACGTTTTCTCTTAAATGTGAAAACCTTTGTTGTCTCTTAACTGCTTA